TTCAAAAATGCTATAAAACCTGTACATGGGGAGTACTGTTTTACTCGGGAGACATCGCTGAACACAAATATTAGTGTTTAAAAACTCGAAAACATATCACAACAATTATATCATCAGTAAAAGTGCTGTTTATGTGTGAAAAATGCAAAAAAAGTCATTTTCTCTGACAATATCATCGCTGTGATATGTTTTACTGTTTTGAATCACTAATATTTGTGTTCAGCGAAGTCTCCCGAGTAAAACAGTACCCCCCATGTACAGGTCTTAGGGTGTCGTAGAACGTTACAGGGTAAAACACAGTGCTAACAAATTAAATTCTCTGGAATTTCGGCCTGGGTTGGCAGGCAGGTCCCTCAAATTGCAATCAATAAAATTACTGAATTATGTAAAAATATTACATAAATACGCACGTAGAATTTAAATATATATGCATATTTATATATTTGAAGTCTACGTGTATATTTATATAATTATTTATGTAATTTTGTATATGGACATATGTATATTTCGTATTATTTTTATTTATTTATATATACATAGATATATATACAATTTCATTCTAAGTGTATTTGATATAAATATATATATATATTACTATCAAAATACAGTTAGAATAAAATTTCATATAGATATATTTTTTTAATTTTTATTATTATTTTACATGTTTTTATTTAATTTAAATTACTTATTATTTGTATTTTATAATAATATTTATATACAATATATAGTTATATATTATATATATAACGTGTGTAATTTAATTATATGTATTTTTATATTAATATAAGTACATATTACTATAAAAATACACTTAGTATGTATATTGAGTATATATGATATATAGACATATAATATATAGATATATTATATGCCCATATATCATATTTATACATATATAATTATTATTATTTTTTTTATTAACACTAACTTTATTTTTTTTTTTGATTTTACACTAGCAGGGAGACTGCCTGTCAGCACAGACAGTCCCCCTGCAGGCAGACACATGGACACCTATTGTGACCATGTGATCGCTGTGTTAAGCGATCACATGGCCACAGGGGTCCTAATCTGCCGTGGGGAGACTGTCTGGGCTGCAGGCAGTCTCCCCACAACCGGAGGAACACTGATCGCCGCCGGGGGAACGACGGCGATCAGGTAAGTACCCCCAGACCGTTTGGACGGTTCAGGACCGTCATCGGTCGGCAAGGCAAAAATGCCGATGACGGTCCTGAACCGTCCTCGGTCCTTAAGGGGTTAAGCAGACTGTGATTGTCTATTGTTGTGACTTAGATGATGATCAGATCACATTTTATGACCAATTTGTGCAGAAATCCATATCATTCCAAAAGGTTCACATACTTTTTCTTGCAACTGTATTAGTACTTCGGAACTTCGGAAATTCGGTAATTTTGGAACTTCGGGACCTCGGCAATTCGGCACTTCGGCTATTCAGACATTCGGAAGTACCCGAATGTCCAAATTGCCCGAAATTCGGCCTAATTCATATTTGGCCCGAAACAAATTAACATGTCTAATAGCGGATCCTTCCACAGCTTCAGGAAACACAGTGAACATCAAGTCGGTATTGGACATTGCTCGCCTTCACGGTCCACCTCCACATAATTAAATAGTGCTGCTTACCCACGATAGCATAATTGCACCCATAATTGCAGGGACAGATCAAATGATTTCCAGGCTGGACGTTCCCCAACCCTGGCTTAGAGCATCAGCTGAATGCTCTAGCCAATCAGTGGTACCTGTGCCTGACGTCAATCTGTGTTTCCTAAAACTCTGTTTCAGAAGTTGAATGCCACTGGGCACCTGGAGATCTGGTGCTGGAGGTAGCCTTTGAGGTTAAACCATTTGAGAGCTGTTTAACTCCTTAAATGAAAGAGAGCACCCAGGGCCCTTCTGGCATCATTACATCTTTATTTAGATAAAGATGTGATCACAATGTTCCTTTAATTTGCCTAAAGGAACATTACAGTGTCAGGAATACAAATATGTATTCCTGACACTATAGTTGTAAAAACACTATTTAGGTGTCCTGCCGCCCCCCGTTAAAAAGATGCAACTTATTCCCAGCTTTGCACCGGTCTCACAATAGCTTGCCCTGCTTTGCCTCATTGGCTAATCAGTGTCCCAGTTTTATAATTCCTAAATCTGGTCATCCTGGGTATATAGGAGGGTATTACAGAAAGGTGTGTGTTATATGATATATTGCAGTGTGGGTATTATGAGAAGATGAAAGTATATGGCAGGGTGGGTATTATGAGAAGGTGAGAGTATTTGGCAGGATGGGTATTATGACAAGGTAAGGATACATGGCAATGGGTACTACGACAATGTGGAGGTATATGGAAGGGTGGGTGTTATTATAAGATGGGGTGTATGGCAGGCTGGATGTTATGACAATGTGTGGTATAAGGCAAGGTAGGTGTCATATGGCTATGAGGAGGGGGGTGTTACAGGATACATTTACAATTGCTGTATAATGTTTTTGCTCACCCAGACAGGGGCTGTCTTTCACCATGTGGTGGCTGCTCAGTTTCAGCCAGGCTCCCAGCGGTTCCATTCTCACAGATTCAGGGCCAGACAGTGTAGAAGCTGCAGGCTCATCATCCCATTTGACAGTGTGGCCAGCAAGGGTTTCTAAGGTGGGTGGTGTGAGTTGTCAATGGGGCGGGGGATCTGGAGAGACTTGTTCTGATCCTATGCATGTTCATAGTGCCTGTGGCAGAGAGACAACCTGGCAGAATGCATGGTACATTCCATGATAATCTCTCTGGTGCTGGAAATGATCAAATTTCCCTACCCTGCGAAAATTCCTCACCCCCATCACCAGGGCCAGATTAAGAGCCCAGTGGGCCTGGTGCTGACAATTATGACGGACCTAATTACAGAATCATATCGACCAAAAACAGTAAAACACTCCCAATCATCATGTATCTGATGGAGAAGGTACTGGAGAGAAAGAAAACAGCAGCTATAAGAAAACACATACCCTAGGCTAATCTCTCACTAATTTATGTTTTCATCTTTCAAGTAAATCCATAACCCCTAACAGCAGTGTCCAGTCAAGTAGGAAGTCAATAGGCATAGTAAAAGGGTGTGCCACTGACACAAATCACATAACCTGCCAAAAGGGGCGAACATGCCCAAAAAGAGGACATGTGTGCTCAAAGAATTAGAAGACCAGCCTGGCATGAATGCATGTCAGGCTGCCTGCCAATCATGCAGCTGGGCAACTAAGGGCATACTATGCAGACAGCACCCTGAGCTTGGCATAAATGCATCTAATGATGCGCTCACTCAACGCTTTCTAAGGACTGTCCCCTAGCACTCGCTGGTCCACTTGTCTCCTTACCTTCTTACTAGCAGGCAGATGCTCCTGGTATATGGTCCGGGACAGAGAAAAGCTGTATGTAGTGAGTGTAGAAGAAAGGGAACATGCCACCGTGTTAGAGAGACCAAAGTCAGCATTACCACAAGCATGAATTCATGACCCTATAGTGTTAACACCACCATCTAGCCCCCCTGGGCCCCTCATGCCTCCATAAATATAGCAAAATCCTACTATATTCAAGCCTGAAGCTGTAACTCTGCATGCTGTTAGACTCATAAAAACAAGCAGTCTGCTGACATCATTAGAAGTGGTGGCCTGATCCAATCACAGTACTTCCCCATAGGATTGGCTGAGACTGACAAAGAGGCAGATCAGGGTCAGAGCCAGCATGATTCTAACACAGCCCTGGCCAATCAGCATCTCCTTATATAGATGAATTTAATTAATGAATCTCTATGAGGAAAGTTCAGTGTCTGCATGCAGAGGGAGGAGACACTGAATGTTTGGATGCATTTTAGGCAGCCATGACCCAGGAAGGATCTCTAACAGTCATCTAAGGAGTGGCCAGTGAAGTTATCACTAGGATGTAATGTAAACACAGCATTTTCTCTGAAAAGACCATGCTTACAGCAAAAAGCCTGATGGTAATGATTCTACTCACCAGAACAAATTCAATAAGCTGTAGTTGTTCTGGTGACTATAGTGTCCCTTTAACTATATTCATTGTCAGCCAGTCCACACAAGTTTACATCCCTCTTAAGTTTCCATACTTAAGTAAGAGTATGTGAAAAGTAGTTAGGGTTGCCACCTTTCTTGGAAAAACATACCGGCCTTACTAATTTATGTGTGGGTAACATCACATGATGTAAATCACAAGGAGTGACATAAGAGAAAATGCTGTAAAATCACCCAAAAACTATTTAGTTTAAATCTGCTGTAAAGATGGATTCCTCCCAGTGCCCCCATATGTCGATTACTCCAGGTCTCAGTGTTCCTATGTATCAGTGTCTCAGTGCCCCATGTCTCCCAGTGTCCCTAAGTGTCGTGTCCCCAGGCCTCCCAGTGATCCTATGTATCAGTGTCTCAATGCCCTATGTCTCCCTGTGTCCCCATGTATCCCAGGGTCCCCATGTCACTAGGACACTAGGAAGACGGGGAGACCTGGGGACACGGGGAGACCTAGGGACACGGAGACACCAGTGACACTGGGAGACTAGGGGACTCTGGCTGGGACACATGGGGACAATGGGAAAATAGGGGACACTTGAAGACATGGGGACACAGACACCAGGGACAAAGATACTAGAGACACTGGCTGGGGGACATGGGGACATTGAGACATGGGGGCACTGGGAGACATGAGGACACTGAGACACCAGGGCCACAGACACTAGGGACACTAGCTTGGTGACATTGTGACACTTGAGGCACTGAGAGACATGGAGGCACTAGGAGACATGGGGACAGTGAGACACTGGCAGACTGGGGGCACTGGGAGACTAGGGGTCACTGGAAGACTAGAGGCACTGAGACACCAGGGACACTGGCTATGAGACATGGGGACACTGTGTTCCCATGTGTCTGTGTCATAATGTCTCCCAATGTCCCTTAGTGTCTCAGTGTCCCCATGTCTCCTTGCAGCCTTTCCCCCCATCCCTTACTTCCCTGAGCTGTAAGCTGTCTCTGCAGGGTGGGAGTTGCTGTCTGGACTCTCTGTAGCTGCACCCCTGCAGATCAGTGAGTATAGATAGGCAGGGAGGGATATGCTGGAATTTCCTATCCCTGCCTGTCTCCACATACAGCGACCTCTACTGGCCAGTGCTGGTATTGCAGAGTAATTTCCATTTATACTGAGAAAAATACCAGCATTTATATTGCCAGTATCACTGCAATATTGGCACCAGCCAGGCAGCCTCAAATACTGGCTGTGCCAATAAAATAAAAGCCAGGTGGAATCCCTAAGATTAGTGTGTGAAAAAAAAAACTGTAAAAAAAAAAAAAAATTTTTTTTTTTTAAATCAATGGGCCTATTCCATGGGCCTGGGCCTGGAGCTGCAGCTCCATCAGCCCCTATGTTAATCCGGCCCTGCCCATCACTTCTGGTGAAGCGGCCGCACTGGAAGTGAGCCGAATCAGCAGTAGGTCGGGGTAAAGTCCACCACCTGATGTCAACAAGTCGTTAGTATTTAATGTCTACTAGATTTGCCCCCCAACTACCGAATGGCAGATAGAAGCATAAGGGAGATCTACCGCCCTTACAGTAATATGGGGGTCATATTGACCCTCATAGGCTTAGTTTTTTTTCACAGTTTAATGTGCCCTGCGCCACTGATTGTAATTTATTTATTTATTTGCACGCTGACTGCTAGTGCTGCCAGTGGGCCATAGAGTTTATGGGTAGGTCTATATTTGGTAAATAAATTCAAATTTTACAGAATTTCAGCCAAACTGAATGTACAAGCAACTGAGCCTGCAATGTGAGGATAATATGGGCAATGTAATTTTGGAAACATATACAATATACACGGGGCAACAACTTTAGATATAGTTACGGATTTGAGGATAATATAAGCATATGTTGTGCAATATATGTGGGTAATACAGGGGAACAATTTGTGGGGGGAAATGTCAATGTCATCGTTTTAAAAAAGTTATGCATTTATAATACTGTTTTCCTATCTGTAACTTCATTATTCTGTAAATTATTTTTACTGTCCAGTATAAATATTAAATTTGTTTTCAATAAATAATGTGATATCTACGAATACTGGAAAAAATATATAATAATGAACGCAATCCTTTCTAGAAAAACAAAAAAAACAAAAAAGGGGGGAGAGGGGTTCCAGTGGTTCACTTTTTGGCAAATAGTTTAGTAGTGAATGGGGTTAATAAAAAGAAGCATTCATGTATTCAGCATGTGTAATATACTGAGATCTTTTAGCTGTAGTATATATTGTTTTGTAAATTTCTCCTTAATTTTTAAAAGAAAACTTTTATCAGATACACATAGGTGAAACTCACAGGACCCCAAACAATCGGCAACACAGTGGGACTCGGAGTCCCCTTGCATTGTAAACACATGGATTTTGCATCACATTGCAACACGATAATATAGCCTCACAGTATTTCAGTAGGTATCACTTCTGTGCTACAGATTGTGCAAGTAGAAGTAGGATATCTAACCGGCTAACAGTATAAAATAAACATTGTTTTAGCTGTAGTATATGTCCCTTTTTACTACTCAGATTTCTTAAAGGAACACTACAGGCACCAAAACAGCTTTGGCTTAATGAAGCAGTGTAGGTGTATATATCATGCCTCTGAAGTTTCACAGCTAAATTCACTGCCATCTAGGGGATAAATCACTTTTGTTAATGGTTATGCAGCCCTAGACATACTTATCCTGGCTGTGACTGACACAGCCTGCATGAAAACAAAATGGTTTCATGTTCAATCAGATGTAACTTACTATAAAAGTTTTTATTTTCTGCTCTGTAAATTGAACTTGATTTGCATACATGAAGTATGGGTCTAACAGAGCAAGAGATTAGAAATTCTATATTAAACAAAATTTGCAATAAAGGAAGGGTAAACATTAGATGACTCTTTACAGGTAGTGTTTATGAAGGCTGTATAAGTAACAAGCATGGAGGTGTGACTAGGGCTGCATAAACAAAGCGATTAAAATCTTAAATGACAGAGAATTGAGCAGTGAGCCTACAGGGGCATGATCTACACACCAAAACTGCTTAATAAAGCTAAAGTTGTTTTGGTGACTATAGTGTCCCTTTAAGTCAGTGTTTCCCAACCCAGTCCTCAAGGCACACCTACCAGTCCAGGATTTAGGGATTACCCAGTTGTGTCTAAGGTGTTTTTTTTCTTCTTTGTAAAAACACCTTAGACACAACTGGGTAATCCCTAAATCCTGGACTGGTAGGTGTGCCTTGAGGACTGGGTTGGGAAACACTGCTTTAAGTGAACTTACTTGCACATGTAAAGTGTTGTGTTAGCATGCACTACACAGAAGAGCAACACATAGGGTGCACAATCGACTAAAAAAATTTCTTACTGGTAGAGGAAATTAAATCAAGGGTATCAAAACAACTATGTTTCATTAAAGTCCAATGTTTTCATGTTTTGTCCTATTTCATAAAATTTTAGATTGTCAAGACACCTGTATGACTAAAACAAGGTAAAATATCTACAAAGCATACAAAATTCACCGCCAAACCACATTCACTTGATGTACTCTTTATTATAGCAAAGAAACAATAAGATTGACATAGGACTTCTACCAGTGAATGAATGGTAATTGAAATGGACACAGAAGGAACCGTGCATTTGAAAGATGGGTGAAGTTTAAAGTGTGTTCATAGGTGTTACAATCCAAAAAGTTTCTTTCTGAAAAAGAATACATTAAAAAAGTATAAATACAGTATGTTAGAAACTTGCATTTTAAGTGGTTACATTTAAATTGCGGGGGGGAAAATGTATGCAATAAGATTCTTATTATTTTAAATATGTGTATTTTTCGTAAATAGATCATTTTTAGATTTGTTTCCTGGTGTTTAGTTTTTAGTAATCATAATTTTATTGTTACAAAACCAGTGTCCACAGTGACAACATAGTGTAATTTTATTAAAATGTCTTCAATGTAAAAAGCAGCAATGTTTTGACCACCATTTAGGCATTCACGAAAACCACAGTTGTGGTTAAAACGTTGCTTTTCACATTGTAGACACTTTAATAAAAAATCTCTGCTAAAAACATTTCTTTATTGTTTGTATGTGGATCAGTTGGAGGCGGAACTGGGCTCCAGTGCACCATTTGGGTACGTGCTGCTCCCCCCTGTAACATGTTTTGTGATTGGACAATGACAGAGCTCGATTACCCATTAGGCGGCCAAGGTGGATAACAAGGGCCGGGCTCTTCTTGAGCCGGCAGGGATATTAAAAGATCTTTGTGAAGTACCCTGTGCTCCCCCTGTTATACTCCGTCTGTGCTGCTCCTGTCCAGCTGAACGCGATATGCTCTACTCTCTCCAATTCGGAGGCTGCGCGGCACAATCTGGCACACTGCCTTGGGCCCTGGGGTACCTTAATTGTGCTTTGGATAATGGTCTTACTAAGGCCTAGATTTAATATTGTTGGATACATTTTCCAAATTAGTTAATATTTTTAAGTAACCTTTGAAAATGATTTTATGAACATATTAAAATATCAAAAAATATATATGATATATATAACACAACATAGCAATATAGCTAAAAATATAAAAATATTAGAAAATTCTTACCCCACAATATTAAATCGAGGCTTAAATTTGGACACAAAATTTCAAACGATCTCATAGTGTTATGGGCAAATGCAAATATTACAAGTTTTAGAATGCAAAATTGTATTTTAAACTGTGTACTTTGTCTATAAGAGATATTGCAAACTGACAAGATGTTAGAATGGAACATAATGTTTTTCATACATTGTTTCATTAATAAATTACCTCTTACCCATATTCAGTGAATATGGTGTACAGACTTTAGGGTGCCATCATGTGCACCCTTACGTTTTAGTATAAACATTAAGATAAGATGTTCAGACTTTAGGAAGCCATCTTGTCCCAAGTTAGTGGAAATTCCCCGAGTCCGGGAATTTCCCAGGACGTGTGCACCCTTATATTTTAGTTATAGCCTTGTACCTTTGCCAAGTTAAGGAAAGTCCTAAAATGAACACCTAAGGTATAATTATGTACCTTTGCAATGTTAACACACAGAGGAGAGTTTTGGAGACAGAGATACTGTCGCTCCATATAATGACTGAGAGCTGTTGACATTTTCAAGAGGGTATGTTATTCTATTTAAAATGATATTTGCAAGCATATCGTTTTATCTTATAAACTCTGCTATAAATTATTGTAATGGATTTTATATGTCTATAGTTATATTTTTATATAATAAATATCTAAATGACAAAACTTTATTGCTTCCAAGACAATCCTTATTTTATATTGTATTCTCTATTATTTATACATTTTAAATAGAGGATCTCATACTGACTATATAATATTATGGCTAAGATATCTGTATGGTTAGTCCTGCTAAGTTCTATGCTTTAAGACGTTATAGTGGTAAATAAGGGAACCAGCTGCGGTTACAATAGTAAAATGAATAAACTTTTTACACCTTAATTTCCTTTAGTCTGCCTTTTCAAAGTTGATCGTGAATTCCTCAAAACCTACTCAATTTTCACTTAATCCAGTTATAATTAATATACATAAACTCAAATGTATTAAATAGAATATAAAATACATTTTGTAAATAGTTTAATTTTGCCAAAGATTAAGAAAAGCATGTGATCTAATTTAAAAATAATTTAATAATATATGCACTTAACTCATAGAAGTAGATTGAATATCACAATATAATAACAGTATTTATAAACTTACAAAGACAAATTTCATTGCAATTCTGGCTTACAAGTGATTTATGCCTTTTGTGCAGCAAGGTCTCCAACGATGTTAGATACAATTTTCTGAAAGAAATATAAAATATGTATCTTATAAACAAAAAAAATTTGGGACTACATTACTATGTGAGAAATTAACTATTTTTTAAATTAAAATCATTATGTGATACTTTGCAAGGTGTGACATCAGAAGTGTTTTTTAATACCATGCAAGTATGTAAATGCGCACAAGTACATAGTGAGATTGAAAAGAGGCTGAGTGTCTGGATTACTGTTGATCCAGCAGGCAGAAATAGTATCACACCTAGGACTAAGGATAACGTTTAACCGGACCTTAGAATGGCCGGACTTAATGTACCCAAGAATAGTCAAAATACTTGCCAAGGTCAGGGATACAGAACGAGACACAACGATGACGGAAAGCCAAAAGTCAAGGATACCAGAAATCAGGAGAGTCAAAATGAAGCCAAAGTCAAAAACCAGAATAATATGATCAGGAACACACTCTCTAATAACCAGCAAAGGGAAACCACGACAGGGCCCTAACAAAAAGGTAATTTGGGTTTAAATACCCCTCCTTTGGCTGTAATTAGCTGCCTCTGACCCCAAAACGTGCGTGTGCGTCTATGATGTGACGTTGCATGCACGTTGGCGCCATCTTTTGTTTGGGCGACAGTAAGCTTATTACAAAAATCCGAACTGCAGCGGTCGGCACTCCTAAGACCCGCTGGGGACCTAACCAGCGGGAGGTCGGGCAGTGATCTGCCGTGAACAAGGTACGGTAAGTAAAATTTGTTTTTGTCAGCCTTGTTGCTTACTTTATCTGCAACCATGCCGACAGATTCACCGGGAGCTGTGACAGCTAGCAACTAGCAGCCGGTAGCATGTGACAAAAATGCACAGTCTCCGCTATTTACAATGTACTTGTAACTAACTGGCTATTTTTGTAAACCAACTGACATGGATAGTTTGTCAACAGCAGCAACACAACGTGAACATTTTTTCTGTTTGGTACTCTAGTTTCCTTTTCTTCTTTGTCAGTAACAATAATGCACAAAATGATCATTATTTTTGCCAGATTCTTAATTGATTTAAATAGATCTATATAAAGTTAAATGCTTAAATAAAATGAATTAGCATGATCCACTGGATTATCTGGTGGGAAATGCCTTTGGTAAGCCTTCATTATATGATTTTATATGTTTTTATATTATTGTTTGTGGTAGACATTCTGTCATCCAGAATGTGATCTATTTTCTTAAGAACCAAAAATGTCTTTAAAGAATAATTTTATATTTATCATACCAGAACTTTGTCCACATTTGCGATAACATCAGCCTGTAGGTAAAAAAGTGTAAGAAAAGAAACACAAAACATCAGACATTTTATACAACAGAGAAGTTGTAATTAATGGGAAAAAAAATAATCTATTTGCATTTAAATATATTATCTGGCAGAGGACCTTAACTGTTGTAATGTACATGTACTTTGCAATAGTTCTTAGTATTCTCTTGTACCCTGTTATTTGCTCTCCTTAAGTTTAAAGAATAATCCAGATGTGGACCACTTGCTCACGGTGTCTAGAGGGATATCGGCTATACCTCACTGATGATTCCTAACAAGGTTGAAACGATCATCTGGGGTTGTTGTTTTTCTCGTACAGAGAGAGCTGGCCTGCATTTTGGATTTGGACCACCCTTTTGGGTGGGATCAGTCTGATGTGGAAATGGCCATGGTTCTTTTTGTAATGGCACAAGAGGAGCTAAAACCAGTTTGAGATCTAAATGGGGACCCAGAGAAGTGCAGGCTACTTGAGCTTTGGTCTGTTCTCCGTATTCTCTTGCATTCTGTTGCACACTGAATGGCTGTACAGCTGTATGTAGCATGGCCGAGCAGTCTCACAGGAAGTGCTCACTGAAAGAGCACTTCCTTTGAGACCGAGTACCGTGGCGAGCAGGTACATGAGGGGAAGGGGGAAAATACATTAAGGGGCTGAGGGTAGAGGTAATGATACACATGTAGGGGCTGGAATGGGACACATGAAGGGGCTAGGAGAGGGAATGGAACATATGGGTGGGCTGAGGGGAGTATATGGACACATGGAGGGGATGGGGGAAATGAGACACATGGAGGGACTTTGGGGAGAAATGAGACACATGGAGGGACTTTGGGGAGAAATGAGACACATGGAGGGTCTGGGGGCGAGTAAATGAAACAAATGGGGAGTTCATGGCAATATTTTGCAATGGGGCTCAATGGTTTCTAGTTACTCCTCTGGTAAGTAGTGTGTAAATGCTAGATGCTGAGTTAAAGGTCAGGGTCTACTGTACCATCTGTACTGGTATGTCTACATTATACTGAATATATATATATATACCTATAGTTGAACAGAATGGTGAATAAGTTGGAAGTTTATAAATACTTAGAGATATAATAATAATTGTTGAGTGTAAGGGTATTAAAGGTTTTGGTAAGAGCTGTTTAAAAAAAAGAGCTGTACAGTTTGATTTCTGTTAAATAAATATAATTTATAGATACAGTTTAGTATTTTAAACAAATTCAATAAAGTTTTTGGGTGCCTTTTTAACCTTGCACTGTGCCTTGATGAAATTAACCATTAATTGATTTGAATGAATCACCTCCAACTGTGGTGTATGCTAAAGCATTATGGAAATATATTTTTTACTTACCAAAGCTTCACATCCAAGAATTCTGATGTTGTTAATCAGAGATTTGTCATTCTATTAATGTAAAACATTAAATATTGTACACGTTAATTGTTACATTAACATTAACTGTATGCACGCACATTTTAATACATATTGCCAGAATTCATATTGTATTTATTTAGAGACATTTTAAATAAAAGGTTAGTCATGGTCCGGATATGAGAGTTATTATACATAAATAAGTAAGAACAATGCAATTCTCTTACCAAGATGTCTCCCATGAAGGGAATGTCATCCTAAATGGGAACAAAAATATGTATTTTTTTTTTAGCCTATCATGTACTAATAGTTAAAGGAAAGCAGACAGACAAAGAGACAATTAGCTGTTGACTGTATATTAAAATAATGTTTTCATTTTTTCGGTTCTATGAACTGCAGATAAAGGGAAGTCAATAGGAGTGTTCTACTATTGTTCTGCTATTCACTCTGGAACAATCCCACACATTCTGTCTTAAAACATTATAAATATCCCAGACAATTCTTACTTTCCACTTATTTAAAATAAAATTGATAACAAACCTAGTCAGAGTCTTCTGGGATGTAAATTCAGATACCTACCTCTTACCAGTGTTGTAGCACCTGCCTAGTGATGGCAAATATAACATGGGCGCTATAAGACAAATCACTCTCTTGTAGCTCATGGTATCTACTTAGTACCAATTCTAACATTCACTGCCTTTTTATTATTTCTGGCAATTTCTTGTCTTGTTACCCCACCAATTGTTGCAGGTAATTATCTTGATACAATGTTTGCACCACTGATTAATCTTAAAGAATTGCCTGTGTAAGACTATCCTTGTGTTTTTGGCAACATTATTTTTCTTTTTGTATCCCAAGAATTGTGTAGGGGCTCTTCTTGGACACGTTCATCACAGGACCTGGTGTTCTTGTACATATTCTGTTGCTAGCCTCTACTTCTTGTCTGTTATTTTACTCCGAGTGGCTAAATTATTGCAACATCAATGTCAAAATATTAAGGAGTCAATGGCATGCAGCAATGTTGGATAACAAAACATCAGTGGTGACCACTGTAAAACAGCCAGTGGGAACTAAAATGTTGAAGGGGGTCTTCTCAATACAACAAGAATTAAAGTATGGTGACTTATTGTGTACATTGAGATATGAATTATAAGCATCATTTGCAGATAGCTTTGAAAACCAGAAACCTTAAATGCTCCTGCCACCTTTTTTTCTTCTTAATTCTTCATTTTAACGTACAAGACATCTTGCTAAGCATTTTGCATAAAAATGCTGTAAATGCTAGATGCTAAGCCGCCCATTACTAATAAGGTTAAATGCTAAAATAAATTTAAAAAAAGACACTTGAAATGTGAGTGTCAAATGATATGGGGATTAACAATGAAAAAATAATGATGGAAACATACTAGATTAAAATAATAATAATAAGTCTACTTACCAAAATTTTGGTAACTTTCAACAAGATGGTTTGCTAAATGTAAAACAAGATGGTTAATGTTGTGTTTTATTCTTTTTTTTGTAATTATTATGATTTGTTTTGGTTTTTATAATTTTAATTATTGCATTGTGGCTAACTCGCAGGTTTGACAGTTAAAGCCTAAATAGGTGAATTATGTAAATTCTCAACTATGCTTCTACTTCAGCTACTTTGGCCTGAAATTTGAAATTAACATTAATTTCACATTCAATTTCCAAAATTATCACTTTAGTGAATATCCGTCTTTATTTTGCTCATTTTTCTTATATTTTTATAATTTGTCTTAATTTTATTTTTATTTACCATGAATTGGAACAACACATTTGCAACTTGGTCAGCAAGAGCTTCTGCATTTTGAAGGTTAATTGTCTGAAAGAGAGAAAGTAAAATTTACTATTTTCATGAAATGACAAATAAAAAAAATGCCTTTTTAATTACAATCAGAGATAAGTGGTTTACCCATTTAGTGGTTAAAACATACACTGCTCCTAATCTTTATAGTGACATGAATTCCACCAAATTATGATGAAGAAGTTAAAACATTATATTAGAATTATAGTAATAATATACATACAGTAAATATCATAGAAAACTCAAGATGTATTCATAACAAGTTTCAGAATAAGACTGGATATTACTAGACAATTTCAGGAAAGCTTAGCAGAATTTATGTAAAATTTACAAATGACTGCATTCAATGCGTTTTTTTCATATGCCTCAAAATTATTTTTAAAGTATCATATACATATGTTAATTAAGGTTTTTACCACATGTGTTCCAAGAAGATTATTGATGCTACAGCCAACTTTTGCCTAAAATATTGAAAAAGAAAAGGTGTTTTTAATAGGAACATGAGAGCTCTTAAAGCAGTTTATCTACTTTGAAGACAAAAAACATCTACATCAGAAAAAAATATGCCAGTTTTAGAATATTCAACTTTCTTCTAGCAGACTGAATGCATTTTAATTAGTTGTTGATTTCTTAAGAGTATTGGGTGCTAATGTTATTTTTTAATGTGGATCTGTCGCTTTCAGCAGTCTCTGCGTATTTTGTCCAAGACCCCCAAAGGTGGCAAACTCTGCTCTCTGTTTAGTGTGATGAGGCCACGGGGTGCAGTGAGGGGTACTTACACGTACATTAAGCTGTTCCTCATGGCCACCAACAGCTTCTTCTTCTTGGGGACAGTCTTCAGTTCTTGGCACCTCATTTTTGAGGAGCTAAATCAGTGCTGTACTCTTGTGCATGCCTGAGAGTACAACACTGAGGTCTATGGAGCATCCTTCGAAACTCTCTCTAGATCACATCCTTCGATTCCCATAGTCGTTACTTGCAGTGGTTGCTGGCATTTGCCAAAAGTTGACAGCAAAGCTTCTCCTCTTGCCAACATTTCTCAACCACAGGCTTCACCATAAGACAAAGTAGTTCCTACTTTATCTTATAATATATTTGGATTTTACTGGAATTTGAATGAAATTCCAATACAGTCAATATTAGTATTTCATAAAACTTTTTCTAAAATACTCAGAAGGCACTGTAAGTGTTAGAAACCCTACATGACCTGAGGAATTATATTAAAGACCTAAATAATCCTGTATTAAACAATTTAAAAACGGAGTAATTTAACTTGGTGGTGGCCGCAGTCTTCTTGGATTTGTTACTATGCATGGTAGACTCTGATGGTGTTATTGGAATCGTTTTTTGTTCATTTTGCGTCTGTCTGAGAGGTCCTTAGATTCCACAACATGCACTTCATCTCTCACTCTGGTCTTTTCCTTCTTCTAGTACTTCTTTTCTTTTCCTGCTGTCTCCTGGCCTTGTTCTTGATTGCATCAAACTTTTTTCTGTTTTTCTTTTTTTTACATGCCCATTCTTTACTCATGTTGTTAAAGTTTTGACATGATGTGAATATTTATTTTCAATCCTTGACAAAGGCTGCTTGTGCCGAAACGTTGGGTGGTTTGTCACAGTCACAGAAACTAGGTAAAGTGTCTCTTGTAAAAGCACTTATTCATTTCTTTTGAATATTATTTATACCCTTTGTTATTTTACTCTCCTTTTCATTATTTAATTTGCTTATTATCTATTAAATGCCTATATTGCTAGAACTATCTTTTGTGTATAATAGATTAATTGAATGTGTACTATGTTTCATTGCAACTTGTACATAATTTGGTGTATATAGATTCATTTGTATTTTATTTCTTATTTGCCAATCAATAAATATATTACTATATTTGTTTTCCCGTGTGAGGTTTTTACCATCTATAGACTGCCAATTTAATTATTAAGCCCTGGGGAGATAGCACAGCTAAGTGGACAAGGGAACATGTACGAGTGTGGGGTTGGATGCGTGTGATTGTTGTGTATGTATGTGTGGGTGGGGTTATGTGGTGTGTGAATTTGAGGTGGGATAGTCTTACTCAGTGGATTTGGGATTCGGGCCAGAAAACAGCTTCCCTCCCACCCGTCCCATTGTTATGTAGTTGCAGCTAGCCGTGGGGGTGTCCTTGCCAATTTGGTTTGGGGGCTATGTCAATATGTGGAATGATGTGGTCAAGTTTCAGGTCTCAGCCTACTCTGCTTTAAAGGTTTAACCTTAGGTTACCTGTTTGGACGTGCCCACCAAGCAAGGAAAAGGTCGGCTGGTGGTAAGCAGTGAAAGGAAATGAATTTTTGGTCGAGGGGGTAGGTGAGAATATGTGATGCATAGGCACATGGTCGGTATATTGGCAGGGACGTTGGGTTATACTGTATGACACTATGCGTTAAGTTATATGCTAAGTTATGGTTATTTATGTATGACATTTTATTTATATTAAGAAAAGATAATGTTTAAAATAAATTATGGATGTGTTCTGCAGTATTTTATCATACGTTACAATAAATGCTGTGGCCTGTTTCATCCAAATTATGTTGTCTGTCATTATTCAGTGTAAGTGGGATAGGTTTCTGTTCTCATTCTACATCACAATTCCCCACTACATACATACATGATAGTTATGCCATACAATTTTTGTTGTGGTATGGTTTACTATCCTGTACTACCTGGTAGATAATTGATTTGCTTTGTTTTATGAAAGTGACCTCAATACATTTAGATTCACAAAAAAAACAAAAACTAAAACCGGAGTAATGTAAGGTGTCACCAGCATTAAAATGTAAATTGTGACAATTATACTTACAAGCATAACATTTACTTGCTGCAGAAAAGCAAGAAACTTGGCTGCATTTTGATCAGCCTAAAAAAGAAGAAATAAATGAAAATGTACACATTAACATTTGATAGCATAATGAAAGTATATTAATGAAATGTTTTAATCTAACTCTAAATTTTAGTTTATCATACAGAGATCTATAGGAAGAAAATATGTATTTCTATGTGTGTGCCACAAATTGAATGACTTATTTAGCACATATTACTATATAAACAAATAATTGCTATTTTTTGTTTAAGGACTTGGTTAAAAAAAAATAATCTAATCTTATATATTAGAAAAATTATATTATGCATATTATTATGTAAATCTAAAATGAAATGAGTTTACTTCTTTAACACCAGTTTCCTTTGTTGTGCAAAAAGTACAAATAACCTTATTTTATCTCAAACTCTAATCAATTTCCAAATTATATACAACTTCACGTTAACTGATTCTACAGTAATAATTTTGGAAAATACCTGGGCAAGTTTATAATCACAGATCAGGCCACCCAACATTTGAAGAAGAACGGGGGCATCTTCCTAAGAAAATATCAAGGCAAAAGAAGCGTCAAATTAGAAAATAAAGATGTACAAAGCGCTGTAATATGAAGATGGATAGATAGATAGATGGAGAGATAGAACACACATATTCAAAAATGTGGCTAATACTTTATTGAATCCTATTTATTTTATATTTAATTTAATTTGTTAATATTATCACTTTACATAACACACCAAACATTTCAATGAAACTGTTATGTTAGACACATTATTATATAACTGTTTTGGTGTCTTTTCTGGGTCTGTATAGAAACATACTATTACAAGTAATAAAATACCTGAAGTAATTGTTGAAGACAGTTGGTTTGTGGAACCGAGGCAGCATCTACATTAAAAAGAAAATAAATCAAATCAATTAATTACACACAAATATTGTTATTTTGAACAATCCTGTAGAGAGCCTCAGGCGGCTGCAGCTTTCCCCGGGCGGTGCGTCCATGAGGGCGGACCGCACCGCCCGGGCGCAGCCTGAGGAGAGGGGCTGACAGGAGGGAAGTGCTCAGCGATCCCTCCTGTCACTCCCTCTGTAGTAGCGTGGCCGAGCCCTGCAGCATGCTGGTCCGACGGGTACAGGGAGCAGCTGTCTCCGGTACCCGGCCGGACTAACAGGAAGTGCACACAGTGTGTGCACTTCCTGTTAGTCCGGCCGGGTACAGGAAACAAAAGCTCCCTGTTATTTTGTTAAAAAAACATAAACACAAAAATAGGAGCTTATGTGTGTGTGTGTGTGTGTATATATATATATATATATATATATATATATATATATATATAGCAATATTTCATTGTGACAATATGGGGAAAGTTGGAAAATGGGGTCAATAAGGTACTCTAAATTAATTTGGGAGAATGCCAGCATATATGAAAGGATTCTGGGATATTTAGTGAACTGTGTTATATGAATATATGAAGAGGACGATAGCATACATTATACACATAGGAAAAATGCCATAATGTGACTTATTAATAAATGTTATTAATTGTAATTCATTTTATTAATTTATTTTTTTGCAGTTTGAACTATATTGTTCTGTTATAATGTTTTTAATTTTCTGTCCACCAACAAGAATTAATAAATGTATATGTTTTTGGTATCTATGGATATTGAAGTGTAAAATGTATTTTATTAGAAAGTTATCAATACCAAGCTGGGTATTGTGACTTGGTGCCAATATGTGGCTCCGAAACATGCTGAGCAGGATTTATTCAAAAGGCAATTGGGTTGGAAAATTAAATTATAAACCTCTGGCTGTATTATAAAAAAAATCTATTATTCGACTATTTTTTTGGTCTACATTAGACAATTTGTTTTATAAATTCACCACACATCACTGTTTGGTAACTAAAATGTAATGTGTATATTGCATCTTTCAGGGTTATTAACTAAACTCTACATGTTGAGAATTAAAGAGGGAATTTCATTTTTTGACCCAAGTATTCAATTTGAAAACCCAACCTTGCTAGTTTTACAGTACTATATTTTGCTTTATAATTTTAAAAAATGCTGGTCTATTCCTGTCAATTTACAGTTTGGTAAATAACTCTGTGAAATAATTATTTTGAAATGTAGTATTGTCCTGTAACTTTGTTCTGTTTAACTACTTAACCCCTTAAGGACCAAACTTCTGGAATAAAAGGTAATCATGACATGTCACACATGTCATGTGTCCTTAAGGGGTTAAAAATGGTGCATACATCTTTTAAGTACCTGTATGTTTTTAGTCATTTTAAAAAGGAAATCCATAATTCTTGTAATTGGATTTGCTAAAATATAAAGAACACGGTTTAATTTCATTAAAGATAATATATAGTGTTAGGAATACAAATATGTTTTTCTAACACTATAGAGTCCCCCTCCCTCATGGCCCTCCTCTCCGGCACATAAAGGGTTAAAAAAAACTCCTTTATTTACTCACTCAATCCCAGTGCGGATGTTCCTCAGCATTGGGTCGGTGCTGTGCGTCCTCCGACGTCTTCTGACATGGGGACATAAAGCACATTAGAACCCTCCCCGTAGGAAAGCATTTACTCAATGCTTTCCTATGGGGTTTTCACTGACGCTGGATGTTTAAGGGACGCTGGAAGATTAAAGGACTCAGAGTCCATTAGAATCCCAGAAGCGCCTACAGTGGCTGTCTGATAGACAGCCACTGTAGACAGTCTTAGTGCTGCAAAGTGGTTTCTAGAAAACTGCAATGATTTACAGTGGGACAGGGACATTGCACCCAGACCACTTAAATGAGATAAAGTGGTCTGGGTGCATATAGTGTCCTTTTAAATTCCAATGTAACAGTCTACAACCCATCCCCAAAAAAAGATATTCAAAAAGATGTTTACAAAAAACTTACCAAAGCAGCTGCTAAAAGCTACCACTAAAAAGACAACAGCGATTTTCATTTTGGATAATGATACGGTTCTTCTCCTGCACTTCAATACCTTGCTGCGTTTTGGGTAAAGTAACAGTGCGGAGTGAGAGTATTTATACGATAGAAAATTGCAAAGAGCATGCCATTCCTTCCAGTTATGCAAATATCTTTTATTATCTTACTAAAGACCTATGGGAAAACGAACACCAGAGTGTGTATACACCATTATGTTTGTTATTCTTTTGATAAAGAAAATCAATTAGCAGCATTGTTAAGTCTTTGATATGGCTTACACTAAACTGATTTTGATAAATCAGTGCTTAATCAAATATATATTTAGATAATTAAGTCTGAATATCATGCAACTAGTGTGAAATTTATAGCCACGTGGAAAATACAGCACATTTGATTTTCCATTTCAATAACTCTACTAAAACATCCTTCGTAAAACAAGTTTTACTTACCCTTCTCAAAGACAAGTCATTAAACAGAAATCTGCATGCTATGCAAAACTCTAAAAACATTTGAAAAAAAAGAGCTGAAAAGAAAACACGAGTGAACAGGCAAAACACATGTATTTTATTTCTTATGGGATTCATATTCAACTGTAGGTTATAACAGAATGACACAATCATAAAACAAAACATGGCAACAAAGAAAAACATGAAATGACCCCTGTTCAAAAGTCTGCATACCCCTAGTTCTTAATACTATGTATTGCCCCCTTTAGCATCAATGACAGCGTGCAGTCTTTTGTAATAGTTGTTTATGAGGTCCCTAATTATTGCAGGTGGTATAGCTTCCCATTCATGTTAGCAAAATGCCTCCAGGTCATACAAAGTCTTTGGCCATCTTGCATGAACCACTGGTTTGAGTGGTTCGATGATATTAAGGTCAGGAGACTATGATGGCCACTCCAGAACCTTCACTTTTTTCTGCTGTATCCACTACTAGAGGGTCAATTTGGATCTGTGCTTAGGGTCATTGTCATGCTGGAAAGTCCAAGAGTGTCCCAGCCTTCGTGCAGAAGAATGAAAATTGTCTGCCAGGTATTATCTGATAACATGCTGCATTCACCTTGCCATCAATTTTCACAAGATTCTCAGTGCCTTTAGAGCTCACACACCCCAAAAGATCAGTAAGCCATCACCATGCTTTACAGTGGGGATGGTATTCTCTTCACAATAGACCTTGTTCACCCTTCTCCAAACATAATGCTTATGGCTGTGACCATAAAGTTCTATTTTGGTCTCGTCACTCCAAATTACAGTGTGCCCGAAGCTGTGATTCGTATCAATGTGTTGTCGGGCATATTGTAATCGGGTTTTTTGTGGCATTGGCGCAGTAAAGGTTTCTTTCTGGCAACCCGACCACGCAGACCATTTTTGTTCAAGTATCGTCGAATTGTTCTACTTGAAACAACCACACCATCTTTTTCCAGAGCAGCCTGTATGTTATAATTGGTCTGTGTTTATTTCATTGAATAAGTCTTTTATATATAGATATTTCTTCTTGGGTCAAAGGCTTGCCACATTAATATACGTCTATATTAATTAAAAGTACTAATACGCAATCTGACGTTCTTTATAAAAAATATGCATTTATTCTACTTCAGCAGCAAACAATATACTGAACAGATGTATTTCTTAACGTTGTTACAGAGAGTGAGAGATCTTAAGTAGTCGTCTTTGTATCAGCAAGTCAGGAACACACCAGAAAAGGAGATCGGGTCGTAGGAGGAAGAGAACGTGGTCTATTGTCCTCTGCCCTTTATAGGCAAAATTACGTCAAAACGTTTAATTTAGACTCTGGCCACATAAGGAAACTCCACATATAAGGACCCTACCCCCAATCTCCCTATACAGAACGTTCCAGAGTCCTCATGGTACAAAAAAGCAAACACGGGGGCGGGGCCGGACCGCCGAGCCAAGCGGCAGCCATCCTCACCGGCTCCCGCATTAAGCGGCATAAAATACGCAAAAAACCCACGAAATACTGACAAAAAGACGGACAGTCAGGAGGTGATGAACCCGGGAACACAGTGCTGTGACACTAACCTGGCAAGGAACACAAATGAAGCACAACAAGCCCCAGAGGCCTGTGACACGCTGCATGAGCGGGGACCGCAACTTAAAAGGGAACTGCAAGAGATTCCGGTCCGGCTCCGCTCCCCTCCCCCCCCCTCCCGGCTGGGGGGGTGATCCCAGCATAAGAGTCCAAGCTTTGGAGCTGGAGGTGGGGGAATATTCGACACACAATGTCCTCCCTGATGGAGCCAAAATGGCCGACAAGCCACACTAGCACAGCAATGAGGGGCGCCCTGCGCACACGAGGCAGAAGCCCAAGCTGGGTTGCCCGGCCCCCGGAATGGGGGACCCCACGACTGAACCCCCTCAGGCGGCGGACTGATCGGCGCGGAGCCGGCCCTGATCTTCGGATTTGGTGGTGGTCCGGAGAATATGCCCCCAAATCTGTGAGCCCTGTGGCGCTGGAGTGCGCGGACCCGTCGGCGGACCGGTGGCCGGAGGACCGCGTACCGGCGCCATGTATGAGACCGGAAGCGGGCGAGGCAGGACGGGACTGGAGCTCCAGGGAGACTCTGCTGTAGCTGGGGAGGTGCAGGAGGCTGGAGCCCTGGCAGACCCTGCGGGGGGGGGGGTGCCAGACAGCTGCGGTCTCCGAGTGCCCACAGCGCGGTGGAACTTACCGCAGGTTTGGACGCAGGCCCTGAGGGGGGGGGGGAGAGGGGCCAGCCGTGACCGGGGATGCCAGGGGGACTCGGATGGGAACAGCTGGCTCCCTGAACGCATATTACAGCTATACCGGAGGGAAGCTCGTGGATATACCACCTGGGAGGCTGGGAACTCCACGCAGGCTTCATATCGCCCCCTCCAGCGAAGTGACTAACCTTTTTTTTCTTTTTTTTTCTCTCCTTCTTTCCTTTTACTGTTAAGGATGGTTTAAATAGGCTAAACATGCCACTCCTCGATATTATGGGAACCCATGTACACTTAATATAATTTGTTTGTTTATGCATTCCTTCTAAGCACTCAGGTCGGAGGGCAAAGGAAACCTAAGCTTAACACATGACCGCAAATTTTATTTGATTTTCTAAAAGTAAGCTGCAAACATGCAGATCATCCGTATTACTAGTAACATTAATTTTAAGCAATATAAGTTTACAAACCTTGTTATTATAAGCATTACAGTTATGTGTAAGTAAATTGCCATTAATCAAACCAGACTAAGCTTTTCTGTGCAGTGCACTATGCCAGCACTGGTTAAACGCGACTGATCTAAAGATGCCTATATTTGCAGCCCTTTATGCCTCTGCGCAGGCAACCATACGCACTATATGTCTATTATCTGATTTATTGCGCCTCTGCGAAGGCAACAGTGCATCAATTTTTTCGCATATGATCTATGTCTGATACCACTTAACGTGCAAAATAAAAACAATTTAAAACAAAAAAGCAAACACCATCTGTTCTTTTTAACCCATTAGACAGCCACACCTTTAATACGTATTTGCATAGGAACGTATAGAATATGCAATATTCTACACTGTGAGTTTTTCTTTGTATCCAGAACAATTCTTCTGGCAGTTGTGGCTGAAATGTTTCTTGGTCTATATGACCTTGACTTGGTATCAAGAGATCCCTGAATTTTCCACTTCTTAATAAGTGATTGAACAGTACTGACTGGCACTTTCAAGGCTTTGGATATCTTTTTATATCCTTTCCATCTTTATAAAGTTCCATTACCTTGTTATGCAGGTCTTTTGACAGTTCTTTTCTGCTCCCCGTGGCTCAGTATCTCTAGCTTGCTCAGTGCATCCACATGAGAGCTAACAAACTCATTGACTATTTATACACAGACACTAATTGCAATTTAAAATGTCACAGGTGTGGGAAATTAACCTTTAATTGCTTTTTAACCTGTGTGTGCCACCTTGTGTGTCTGTAACAAAGCCAAATATTAAAAGGTATGCAAACTTTTGATCAGGGCCCTTTGGGTGATTTCTGTTATCATTATGATTTTAAAAAGAGCCAAACAACTATGTGATAATACATGGCTTCATATGATCACTATTTTTCAATAAAATACATGTTATTATTTGCATGATCAGTCATATTTTCAAAATCAATTTCACAATTTCTGCCAGGGTACACAAATCTTTGAGCACAACTGTATAGAGAGAGTGGAATAAAATACAAAGCTTTATAGGTATTTATTATGTTGTCTGTCTCTTTATATTTATTTATAATAAACATATGACACTATATGATATCATTGGTGGACAGTCATTGTGTGTGTGTCATTATGGATTATCATAGAGAATCACTGGAGCATGACCATTGATGGACAGTCTTTCTGAAATAGAGGAAGTAGGGAGATATGATATGAAATCAGAGGAGAGAATCTGATCATAGTAAAGATAAAAACAGGTATGTCTAAAGCTCACTTTTAAACTATATATGGAAAAAAGCAGTTAGAAAGTTTACATTAGGGGGAGGGAAGGAATACACATTTTTTGCCTATACAGTCCCTTTAATAATATTTGATATTAGGATAATTTTAATTCCCCAAATAAACTATTTTGGCTTAAAGTTTTGCAATTTAGTTTTCAATTCACTATAATGTTTTGGTTGTGTGTGTGTGCCCTTACTTTTTACTAAATTTACTATTGTATTAATATTGTATTAATACAAAGATATAAAAAAGTAGGAATTTTCAGCATATTCATTTTATAGCTAGCATACAATATAAAACAAGAGATGCAATGTATTTACCTTCAAAAGCTGAATGAACCTACCGCAAGCCCTGATTCTCTGGAACTGTTTTGGGCCATACGTGCAGTCGGTCAAATTATGACTTCCAGGAAATTCCTGAACCCCTGAACCGATCTGGGTGATTTTTGGATATGTTGGTCACCCAGATCGGGGCTATCAGGGGATGTAACTTTTGTGGGGATTTTGTATGTTTAAAGGTATTTTTAGAGTTTGTAAAAATGTATGTTTTCTGTGCCTG